CAAGCTCCACCCATAAATAGCTTAGTAATTTACATTTTAACCTATGCCAGCTCATCGTATATTGTACTTCAAAGAGCTGCACACAACTTTTTGACAATCAACAATTCTGACAATCTGAAGGTAAAACTACATTGTTTCAAACTAAGCTGTTAAAAATTAAGCCAAGATGTTCTCAGTCACAACACCCCCACCTTGGGGTTTTTTTCCTGTCCTTTAGATGGAATGTCTACCTTCCCATACAGAGGATTCAAATCCTCCAGCTATTTTCAAAATTCTTGTTTTTACCAAGAAAAATTTTGAAAACATATTCAGGAAATAGTTTTGCATAATGAAACATTAATAGGACAAAACCCTTAAGAACTATATAGCCTATATATACAAATGAATTATGCACAGAAAACTGAATTAAGCAAGTATATGCATTACCTACTTAAACTGTAAAATATCATTCATATTTAGGTTTATAAACACAAGGGTTGGGAACTATTGAATTCTTTTGGCTAAAGCCCAATATTGGCCTTATTTCAGTTTAATTGGAAGAGGATCTTGAATTCATCTTCTCCATGAGATATCAGGAACCTGGATTTCTGTTTGTACCAAAGGTTAATAAGAAATGTGTCTGCAAAAGTCAAACAGCATTAAATACCAAAAACTGATTATTATTCTGCAGGAGTTGTTCTGTCATTCATAATCTCTCCATGCTCCAACCTTCCACAGCTAATCTTTAATGGATGACATGCAAGAAAGAAAAATAACATCTAAAAAGGGACTCTAAAGTGAGCTTTGAAGAAATGGAAAATACTTTTCTTCTGTGCTGGAAGCTATTGCCACCCAAAGTTTATTACTGGCAAGATTACTTATTTCCTCTTACTTAATGGGATATTAAATCAAATTATCTCTAAGCTAATAGCCACTTGGATATTTGTTTTCACTTTTGCTATTAAAACTATTGCATTCAGTAATTATTTTTCAAGTTAATTTAGGAAGCTTCAAATAATGTTCATGAACATTTCCATACCATATTCAAGAATCCCGAAATACCACAAATGTTAATTCTCAACTTTTTTGTAAAAACAGACCTGAAAAAAGGGACTTGGTGTATTGCCATAGTTTCCAAGAGACTAAAAGCTGCGTAACATATACAACAGTATTAGAAGTATTGCTTTTCCCTTTTTCCACACTATACGTTCTATCATTACCCTGGTCTTTCAGAGGGCATCTGCAGAATGCCAGTACAGTTTTCAGGCATTAAAGGTGGTGTGCAACACCTAACAGACCTAGCAGGGCTGGACTCAATCAGTTGACTCTGATTTAAAAAAAAAATTTGGTAACAATACTATTAGATATTGGCAAAAAACTCCGCACAGAATAGCCCTTGCTACAGAAAGATTTAACAAGAAATATTTTTTATTGTATTTTCCTTCAGAATTATTCTTAGTCCCAATACATAGCACTGTGATAACAACAAAAATATTCCAAGAGCTGAAGTTCTGATGCCAACTATGGTATATGTTGTTGCAGTGATGGTGGGAGTTACTGTAAGAAGACCAGGGCTTTGGTATTTTTTCCAGTTTTGAGAGGCTACCACTATGCTCTACAATTCTCACTTACACTCAACCAGCTCTTTCCTCTAAAAGTTCCTATATATCCCATGTATAATTCTTCTGTTAGGCAAAAATGAAGTCACTTTTTATGTCCATCCAAAGTGAGATCTGTTCTCTCTGCTACTTCTTTTGAAGACTTACTCCTTTCAAACGCCTCCATCCTTACCTTCCAGTCTGTCCGCAGAAGATGTGTGCTCCTTCTCCCCTTCCTCTCCCATACAGTGTACCCATTCCCTTTTCTATTCAACATACGAAAGTTCGGCAGTCCCACATTTCAAGATTTGTCTGTTCTTCATGCCCAGTTCACACGTGGTGTTCCCTTTTTTCCTTACATTATCCTAGTCTCAGTTCTTTTATGATGTGCTCTTCCCTTGATTTTCCCGATGCTGCTTCCACCTCTGTTGTTGTTCTCTTTATGATGGGGAGTGAAACTAATGGTACTTTCTGACATTAGCTTATAATGAGAGGAAATCCAACAGAAGAATAATGAAGAAAGCAGGAACCTGTGGCAACTATGACCACCAGAAACAACAGTCTCTAACGCTTAAAAGCCTGCAATCAAAACTGTTAATTCCCTAATTTTCCTTAGCTATAGCTACCTGACACAGAGAGAGGGACACAAGGAAGTTCTAAAATGAATTTCCCAGGCTAGTAAAACTTAAAAATAAACACCTTCTGAAAATAAGTTACTTACTGCACACAGTAATAAACATTCTCTGCCATGGCCTCAAGTAGTGCCAGGGGAGGTTTAGATTGGATATTAGGAAATATTTCTTCACCGAAAGGGTTGTCGAGCATTGGAATAGGCTGCCCAGGGAAGTGGTTGAGTCACCACCTCTGGAGGTATTCAAAAGACGTGTAGGTGTGGCACTTAGGGACATGGTTTAGTGGTGCATTTGGCAGTGTTAGGTTAATGGTTGGACTCAATGATCTTGAAGGTCTTTTCCAACCTGAACGATTCTATGAATCTATGAATCAGGTATATCTTCCACCTTAACTCTACTTTTTCTTATTCCCTCATGAAGCATTTCACAAATTTATACTTTTCCTCTTCACTTCTTCCTCTGAACAAAGTAAAAATCATAAAGCGACAAGCTTTGGGTTATTTGTTTCTGAAGACTGTTGTAGCTTCATTTAAAAATGGCATTTGTCTTCAGCTTTTCTGTTCTTTCCACAGGACATGTTTAGGTAAAACCCGTTAATTAGAGGGTTACATTTTAAAATGGAATTGTAATATTCCTCAAAGTAGATAACATTTTTATGGTGTATCTTTCTGATGTTTTTTACAATATAATTTTGTTGAGTCATTTTCTTACCATAAAGTGAGTACGAAGTAATAAATATGCAAACACCCATATTTACAAGCTTCACTCTACCATGTGCTATACACTGCAGTAATTGAACATTAACTAGCAACATGAAATCACAGCAGCACGTGTTCCCCTTTCCTCAAAGGACTTAACACAAGGGGAAAAAGTTTTTCCTTAAACACACCGAGTCTTCTTTATCAGGTTCTGCTTGTCCATTAGAACTTTCCCCAAGGCTTTTATGAGAGAGAGACACATAGACCTCCACAAACTCAGTTTGGTTCACATCATTCCAGATTTCAAAACATTTATCCAAACTTGGTAACTTTCTTAGAACCATAAGACAGGAAGCAAAAAAACCATGAAATATTCACGATGCTTCCTTTTTGCAAACAGCTTAAGTAGTAAGGAGCCTCTTGCCCTCTCTCTCGGCATTTAAAGGATTTTATACTTCCTGAACTCGTAAAAGGAGAAAAAAGGGTATTTTTTTAAAGGTCATCCTTATTATACATTGTAGCTCTCATTAAAATTTGGCTTATCCTTCCTTTTAAAATGGAATAACTATGTTAATTATCATATCCATATTCATGCCATACTGTTTTGAAGAGAATATTATGCTTAGGACATAATTAGAAAGTTTAAGCCGTAGTGTAGGAAAAAACAATTTACTAACAAATACTTCAACTGTATCCATAAAAATGAAACTAAACATGTTTTTGACACATCTTTTGACACACATTTCTTTCCACGTTTTAATGAGCAATGAACACCTATATGAAAGAGAATATTTCTCTTTTATAGGTACAGAGGTAAACCACTCTGCAAATATCCAGGTACAAACACAAAACTTGGGATTCAACCCAAACAATTTGCATTAGTTTTTGGCTGCTGGATATAACTATAATACACAGTGCAGATTTTTTTCTTCTGAAAATAAGGCAAGCAGTTTCTGTAAAATGAAATAAGAATAAGATTATGCCTGTATTTCAATTTGTTTCCTAGTATGTAGATTAGATTTACATTTCCCTTCCTCCACCACAGAAGATCTAGGAACTCTCTCTTCCATCTACAATATACACAGAATACTGTATTCTCAGGAGTTTGACACTGAGTGGAAAGTCAGCCATCTGTTTTTTCAGCTGAAGGTTTATTTTCTGCTCCATTTTCCTGAAGACAGTTACTCCTCCCTTCAGTACCAATATTTTGGGGACAGGTATTAGTACTGTTAATACTATATGAAGCATGCATGGTCCATGAGGACACAATTTTACCTAGCTTACACTTTATTTATGAGCAAATGATACGATGAATTTATAAAACCACTCCCATTAATTTCTTTGAAACACCTGGGGGAAAAACTCAGAGTATTTTTCATCCACTGGGTACACTGTAGACACAGTCACTTCTCAATAATAAAAATACTCAGCTTCATTACTTTATAAATCTCCAAAATCGTAGAATACAAACTGTCTCCATTCTTGTATGTCTACCCAAAGAATAACTAACAACAAATATAAGCATGCATTCACTTTCAAATATAAACTTAAAAACCTTTCATTTGGGAATTTGTAAAAACTTCATTCACTGGAGACATACCATCATCAGACAAAACTTCATTACCTACCAAAAGAACAGATTTTTCAAGAAAAGTGCAGGTCTCTAGTTGAGGTGAATGTGCAACTATCTCCATACACGGGGAGGGGGTAGTATTGCTCTGAACGAGCTAAAACAATAAGTGGTATTTGAACTGCTGGTTGAAAGGTAGAGGCACTGGTAATCATTATTTCCCCTTGTTTGTTCAGGACCTTCCAACAAAACAAACAACCTTTTTGTGATTGGATTGACATGGTGTTAACAATGCATTTAATGCCCAAATCAGTATGAATACAGGTAAAGCTCCTGCTAATACCAGTACCAGGATGTTAAACCCACCTATTTTCTAAGCAACTCTAAACAGCCACACATAAAAAAAAAGTCAAATCTTCCCTCCTTTAGCAAATAAAGCTAACATTCACTAGGCCACGTCATATAGCAACCGCAGGTACTGTATGAGCCATACAGCCATCTGTTAAACGCTTGCCTACTGTACCTGCAATCTTTTCTGCAATCTTAGCTTCTGTAGCTCTCTCTTGCAGGTCTAAGTCCAGTTTTATTGTCTTCAACTCCTTGTCCTTTTCAGAGAGCTTATCCTGAAGCTGAATTGAACAAATGGACAGTAAGATTCTTACCTAGCTGAAACAGTCAACCAGCTCTTTTAACCACAACAAAATTTTAAAGAATAGTTTCTTACCCCCATAATACAAACACTAAGCAATACAACAGAAGTTCAATTAATTAGATTTATTTATTTAAAGGACAAATGTTAAAAATATGGTTTTTATCATCTGCCCTATCTTGCTCTGCGAGATAAGCAGCAATGTGTGTGCCATTATTTTTATTCGAGATTCCCTTCTTTAGGTATCACCAGCTGTGGTCCTTCTCACTAAGGAAGTTCAGAATTACATGGAATTATAATGCAGGTAGTGTCTGCATGAATAGCCTATTTCCTATGAAGAGTACTGACATCACAGCCTGAAGAGACTGTGGTCTAAATGCATAATTTTTCACATGCATTGCCAGATAGAAAACTGATATTCTTTCACATGTTGAGCCCTTTCTTTTAACTGGAAATCCACTAAATCTGTTCTTGGACAGGTATCTGAGCTTGCCATTGAATATTCAATGACACTTCACGGAAAGACTATAGACTTTTCTGTTGTTTATGCACATGCAACTGCTACTAACACTACAAGCAATGCAGTGTGCAAGTAGGATGGAATTTTCTTCCCCTCAACAAAGAGGAGGTATCAGGGCACATTCATTATCTGGACCACATGTACAGAAGTATGAGCTCCAGATTCTATTAAAGAAATCCTAGCCTTGGTTTTGGTCCTCCTCAGTTTTCATCCATGGTGCAAGAAGCTATGTCACCGATTAAAAAGGTCAAATGGTGGGATGAATGATTTTTTTAATTCCAGAGAAGCAGTTGCTAAGCAGATACTAAGAATCCAAAATGACAAGAAAGCTATTGATTGGTGCACTAAAATAGATAACAAAACTAAATTAGGAACAGTTTAAAATGTATGTTTTTTAAGACAACCATAAAAGAGCAAATACTGTGATCTGAATATCTCCATTGTACCTTTTTATTTTTGGCCCTCAGAGTGTCCAGTTGTTTTAAAAGGAATGCAGTTTCTGTTTTTCCACCTAAATCTGCAGCATCCCCCCATGAGGATATAAATTCAGGGAGCATCCTGCTAGCCTTTCTTTGTATGGTGCTGTGTTTAGGAGGGAAAAAAAAAAGAAAGAAAAATAATGCAAAACCAGTTTCTCCCCCCTTCCCCTGAAACAAAATACACAGAAATAAATTATCAAAATTCGTTAACCATTGCAAATGTATGAAATAGCTAGTAAAAGGGATGTCCTTCTATCACTTCTTAAATCTGCAATTCTGAAAAAAAATCTGTAAATCTGGACCAGTAAATAAATATACTACAGGGCTAAGGCATAAACCAGATGAATATATATGAATATATATATATGAATATATAGGCTATCCGTTGATACAGATAACTCAGATCTCACTTGTAAGATGGCAGCAAAAATCAGCAGATGAATGGATTAGAAGGGGTATTAGCAAATATTTTTAACATTTGCTTCCCTTAAGTGTTTTCTGTTTATAGGCTTCATAGCCAATAAGCCATAAGAAATAGCCACAGGAAAGCTATACCTTCTGAACTCCTATTTCTACTGTATACATTACTTTCATTATGTGTAATTCACATCCTAGAAAGAAAAGGAAAGCTATCTGTTGCTCCAAAGAGTCATTCTCTTAGATAGACAGTTGTTTGTACTCAGCTACCCATTTCTTCACCTGCTTCCATTGGATTTATTTTCTCTATCGTTCTTTAAGAAGGAAGCTGAGATCCATACTCTGCAAGCAAACTATGGCGCAACCTTACGCACATTAAATGTAGAGAGCACAGAGATTCACATCAAAAAAGTACTTGTGTAATACAGTGTATATACAAGGTGGAAGAGTGCTTAAACTGCTTGTCCTTGCTTTCAAGATCCTTCAAAACCTATTTAATCATTGCTCTGTCTAGCAAATTTCATTTAGTATTGTTTCGGACTGCAAGTGGTAGATGCCTCTGGATACTATTGCCTAGACATTATAAACCTCAAGCTTTTTTTGTGTATTTTCCATGTTCAGGAGATGCTTTCCGTGAATAAGTTTGGATATACCTCATCAACATCTTTCAATCCCTCAAATGTTTTCTTCCTGATGTCTAAAAGAAAACTTGCCAAGTCATGTTGATGGTACACGAAGACCATAATCTACAATGCGAATCGACACTGACTCACCATTTCCTGGTTTGTTCCATATCAAGGTATTTTTTCATCTTATATTTTAATTGCAATCTATTTGGGGAAGCATAGATTTTGTGCAGTTTGTATAGTATCTACCACAACGAGGTTTTGGCCTATAGCTTCAGGAAACTACTTGCAATATATTTGCAGATGAGATGGTTCAACATGCTGACTGCTGTGGGAGGTTAATCTCAGTGTTCAAGACCAGCCTGATTGCCAGTGTGAGTGGCACTGGTGAAGGGTAGGAGCAACAATCTTTGGCAGACTCTGTGCTGGGTTGTACCTAAGCACTGAAGATTATATTTGGCTTTTAGTGCAGGATGCATTGCCCTAACAGCGTATCTCAGGCCCTAATGCAAAAAAAGGCAACAAGCCAGATGGAAAGGTACTATGGACTGGTTTTGACCCAATAGGTCACCACTAGATCATGCTAAAGATAACAAACCAGGTGTAGAATCTGCCAGAAAGGTGAAGAATTAAAAGTATATTTTTCAAAAGTACATCATAGGGCTCTGCAGCCTTGATCCCATTTTCAAAAGCAACCCTGTCACTCTCAGCTAAGACTTGGGCTTCAGAATGCCTAAGTTGGTCAAAACTGGTAGCGTGTTCCCTAGTCAGCTGGGTATAGCTTCGTACATTATGTCACATATAGCATGAGTGTATATGTTTCTTAAGACTGCGATAGAGGGCCATAGCTCACTACAGAAATTAATGACAATAAATGAACAAAATTAATGACAGAATAAAAACCTCAGAGTTTGTACTACACTTTTCAACCATATTTGCTCTTCTCCAGATTCCTGTCACAGACTGCCTACAAGGTATTACAGCTCCTCATCTTTTCTCTTCCAGCTTCATCCTGCTTCATTCCTGCTTCCCGCTCACTCATCATACTTAGGGTACATTGTGCTCCTTGTGTAAAGCCACAGATACTACTAGACTTTTAGATCATCTTTTCTAATTCTGTTCAGTATGCATTTTTAAAATTCTCTGGAGAGATCATTGAAATACCGGCAGTGTGTCACATAAGCCATTGCCATGATCGTACTTTCTATCAGTGCTAGAGAATACAGTGGTGCTGCATTCCACAAGGAAAGAAGGGCACATATGGTGAGTCTAAGTAAAAAGCTGACTTATTGATTCTCAGTTACAAGGTAAACTTCCCTATCTTTATCCAAAAATCTGTATGTATATTATCTATAATTTGAATCTAGAAAAACTGTATATAGCAATATTCTTTTTTACCTTGATTCTTCAGGAGTGGAATTACAATCATTTGGGGCTCCTCTTCTTTGACTGGTTACTGACAAATCTGAAAGTTTCATTGCTTCAGCTGCTGCCTGGATGAAAAATTCTGGGCTTTCCTGAGAATTCTGATGAAACTGAAACTCAACACAAAAGTCTTCTTTCTTCTGTTCCAGGATGTGTGTTCCTAATTGGAAATAGAAGCGAACACATTTTTTCATTTGGAGAAAGAAGCACAAACTTGAGATTTCTCATTTGAAAATGGCTTGCTATATTCTTATTTGTAGCAGAAAGGAGAAAGTAGTTTCAGATTCACAGCTTCCTCATCCCACTAAGGAACGAAAGCTGTGTTACCTAGAGCATGGATGTAGGAGTTATGACCTATTTACTGGATTTTTCTTATGGAAACTTGAAAAATTCACCACCATTTCCTAATCTCTCTTTCTCTTAAATGACTGCTTAAAATAATTCTGTCTCTAGGAAATTATCTAACTATCTTTTGTAAAATCAGCTCTACCCTAGTGAGACACAATGAATTTCTGCTGTAGACAGGTAAATTTGCAGGTTGTGAACTAGACTCCTACTTATAGTGAGGTCTTTTTCAAATCCGTTTTGGCTATAAAAGGAGTATCAGCAAGCTGTAATTAGCAACAACAAATTATTCAGTCCTGGAGAGTGTAAGGTAGGGGCTCATACAACTAAAGAACTTGAAGAATGCAAAGCACAAATTGTGCCAAAGGGAAAAATTATCTGATTAAAATGTTGAGTGTGATAGTTCTCTTAAGCTTGGCTACTAGATATTTTTAGGACATATTTCTGATATCAAGGTATTTAAATGAAAGAAAGATCTACATACCATGAATGTTCTTTCATAAAGTAAGAACAAGTAAGTTTTAATTATAGAACTATATTAAAAAATAAGGAGGAAGAAGCTTTAAAAAGCTGCAAATGGAAAAAAGTGCATATATCCTTCATTCTTTCATTTAGATTAGTAGAGAACAAACACTGGGGCTTTTGCTCATTTAATAAAGTTAACGTTTCCAAACATTTTGGATAAATGACATGGTACACATTCTGTGATCCAACTTATTACTTCCTCCTCAAAAATAATAAGAAACCATGTATACAGTTGCAATCATCTACAAATAGCTCGAAAATACACATCAGTCAGTATCAAGGCGTCATGCTACATGTAAGACACAAAAGCACAGATTCCAAGTCAAAAATACTGAAGGCTGTCTCTAAAATCTGTTGCAATAGATTCCTCTTTCCTCGAAGAAGGAAAGACACAACCAACGGCACAGGAAACATCCCGAGGGCACAGAGAGATGACTTGTGGATGGGCTGCAGTCAGTTTAACAAGTTCCCATACAAACCTATGTGTTACTACCTTGAGGAAAAAGTTATTGTACCTGCTGCTGACCTGTATTCTCCTTATCTACTTCAGCACAAATCCACTTGAATCCACTCTCACCATTCCTCTAAACTACAACCACGGATTTTTCTACTAGAGAAACAACAGTCAACAGCATATCAGAATCTCTGTTTCTGAGCAGTAATAAACATGTGGGGATCGTAACTTGATAAAACATTTATTAACAAGTATAACCTAATGCTACTTCCAGTACTGTGATTGAAATGTGTTCCTCAGATCATTTCACAGCTAATGCAGAAATTGAACACAGCCCACAGCCACCTGAATTCTTTGAGCAAATGTATGCTGTTGTTCACTGGCTCTAAATCTTGCAGGTTTTTGAGCAGAGATTTCCTTTTAAGTGCTTCTACATTTTAAAACTGGATTCAACCTCTTGCTCCTCCTTACAGCAAGTAGCAAGGATCTCTAAAGAAACAGGCATTAAACAATTCACTATGTGTACTCTAAGAACCTGCCCCAACTTAGGAGTGGCAACATATAAGGGCAAAATTCTGAATCCTCTCCAGTTAGTACTATCTGAAAACTAACCTAGTCTATAAAGCACTGCCTATCAAGCATCATCCTGTCCACTTCTCCCATTTCAGATGCAGTGATCTGTACGTATGTATATAGTTGCAAATTATGCTCTCACACACTGAAGGGGAAGTGCAACGCTTCATTTGCCATAACAACTTTTCCTCCCCTTCTTCTCTAGGGCATCAACATTTTCTATAAGCCATATATATTTTAAGTGCCTCAGGTGAAGTGCATTGCATTCTGTGGAAGAAATCAAGCACAACATATCTGTTGCAAAAACCAGTGACTGAATTGCCATGAAACTTTGTTCCTTGTTTAGTATTACTGCACTGTCCTTTGGACCACACTATATGAAAGAGAGAAAATAAACCTTCTCACTCCAGAATGCTAAGAAGAATAGATGACATTAGCTGCTACAATCACACCGGGACAAATCAAGAAAGGGATTCTATCCCTTTAGCATGAGAGTAATCAACTGAATAAGCTTTTCTTCTTGTCACAGTTCCTGTGTTTCAAATTTGCTGCTTTTAGTGCCAGGACTTTAAAAAGAGTTCACAGAACTGTTGCAGTTGGAAGGGACCACTGGAGATCATCTAGTCCAGCCCCCCTGCTCAAGCAGGGTCACCTAGAGCAGGTTGCCCAGGACCATGTCCAGATGGCTTTTGAATAGCTTCACAAGCAGAGACTTGACAACCTCCCTGGGCAGCCTGTGCCAGTGTTTGATCACCCTCATAGTAAAAAATTGTTTCCTTGTGTTCAGACGCAATTGCATGTGTTTTAATTTGTGCTCATTGACTCTTGTCCTGTCAATGGGTACTACCGAAAAGAGTCTGGCTTTTTCTTCTTCATTCCCTCCCATCAGGTATTATTCACATTGATAAGATCCACTCCCCCAAGCCTTCCCTTCTCGAGGCTCAGTCTCAGCTCTCAGCCTCTCCTCATACACAAGATGCTCCAGTCCCTTTGTGGCTCTTTGCTGGACTTGCTCCACTAAGTCCATCTCTTTCTTGTACTAGGGACCTCAGACCTGGACTTGACACTCTGGATGTGACCTCACCAGTGCTGAGCAGAGAGGATGGATCACCTCCCTCCACCTGCTGGCAATGCTCTTCCTAATGCTACTCAGGATGCTGTTGGCCATCCTTGCCATGAGGTTGCATTGCTGGCTTATGCTCAACTTGCTTTCCACTAGTACCACGATCCATTTCTGCAGAGCTGCTTTCTAGCCAGTTGGTGCCCAGCATGTACAGTTACACAGGATTATTCCTACCCAGGTGCAGGACTTCACATTTCTCCTTGCTAAACTTCATGAGGTTCCTCTCTGCCCAATTCTCCAGCCTGTTGAGGTCCCTCAGAATGGCAGCATAACTCTCTGGTGTATCAACTACTCTTCACAGTTTTGTATCACCAGCAAACTTGCTGAGGGTATACTCTGCTCCATCATCCAGATCATTAATGAACCCATTGAACAGGATTGGATCCATTTTTGACTCTGGGAGTACACCACTAGGGACTTGCCTCCTACTGGACTTTGTGCAACTGATCACCACCCTCTGGGCACAGACATTCAGACAGTTTTCAGTCGACCTCACTCTTTACTTATTTAACCCATACTTTGCTTCTCTATTAGGATGTTATGGGACACAGAGTCCAAAGTCTTACCAAAGTCAAGGAAAACAACATCCTGCTTGATCCATGCTTGACTTCTTGCCTGTCAGGATAGACCATTTTTGAGCTTGGACAAGGTGATCCTTGAATATCAACCAGCTTTCTTTGATTCCTCTTCTCTCCAGTACTGTATCCCATGGGATTCTTCCAAGCAGATCTCTGAGGAGGCCAAAGTCTATTATCCTGAAGTCCACAGCTGAGGTCCTGCATTTTGTCCTGCTCCCTCCTGTCAGGATCCTGAACTCCACCACCTTGTGGTAACTACAGCCAAGGCTGCCCCCGACTATGACACCCACAACCAGTTCTTCCTTATTTTCAAGTATCAGGTCCAGCAGAGCACCTCTCCTTGTTGGCACCTCAATCATCTGTGTCAGGAAGTCATCATCAACGGACTCCAGAAATCTCCTAGATCATTTGTGCCCTGCTGTTGTCCTTTCAGCAGATTATCAGCATTGTTGCAGTCCCCCATAAGGACCAGGACCTGTGAACATGAGGCTTCTTCCAGTTGTCTGAAGAAGGCCTCATCTACTTCACCCAAATCTCCTCCATGGCCTTCCCTCTTGCTGGCAGAATCAAGGATAACACCACCTGGGTCCCCACGCCCTTGACCATCACCCCCAGAGCCATACAGTCACATGGTCTTCCCAGGTCACGCCAATGGTATCACTGGTGCCTATATGGGAAGAGCAGCAGGTGGTAACAGAGGGTCAGATGAGCCTCAGCAGCCTCTCTCTAACATCCTGAACATGAGCTCCCAACAAGCAGCAAAGCCCTCTAGATGACAGGTCAGGTCAGCAGACAGACTTTTTTTTTTTATTTTTTTTTTAAAAAACAGTATGACATAAACATGTCTGCAGGATGAGGTAAACATCTGCATTACCAGCTGAACATCAGGCTAAATCCTTAGGGCATGTCAACATATGGATTTTTATGCCTTCAACTGCTAAGTTACAGCAGCTGGAAAAAAAATAAAGAATTTAGAATGGAACTAGACCTGTGTTGGCATTTATTAATGCTAATGCTGCTTCTTTAAGTGACTCAGATTTGCAGCACACCTTTTCATCCAGTTTCAATTCCCTCAAGCGCATAGGTAAGACTAAGCAGCATCACAGCAAGCCTGTAAGTGG